AGTTGTTTCCATTTTTAATATTTTCTTTCTTTTTGATTGAGGTTTTTCTCTCATTAGGGTTTTGTTTGTTTGTTTGTTTGTTAGCATTCTGCTTTTGTTTTGTATGGTTTTCTGTATATGAAATCCAGGATAGATCTAATCCACATAGAGTAACTGGATTAATAGTTACCTGGGGACAGGACAGCAGGACGATGAGGGGAGATGGGGAGTACAACAATGAATACAAAAAGAAATGTTTTGAAATTGTTGTGATTGCATAACTCTTAATATTAGTGAATTAAGTTACATGATATGTGAAGTATATGCCAATAAAGCTAGTACGAGAATTAAAATTCATGTTCCAATAACAAAGATAATCAGAAGATGTGGATGCAGGTATTCCTATTGTCCCCAGGCAATTCCAACTTATCATAGCCCTGTAGGGTACCGCAGAATTGTCAACGGGTTTTTCAAAGCTGTATATCTTTCGGGAAGCCAAATGACACATCTATCTCCATAGAGTGACTTACAGATTAAAACCACTGAGCGTACACATGAATGCATCACCAGGACTCCAATGCAAATACTGGAATGGCTAAAATTAAAAAGATTTACCATATTAAGTGTTGGTAAACAAATGGAGAAGCTGGGTATGAATATAAAATGGGTGGAGAAGCTGGGTAGGAATATTGCCAGTATGAATATAAAATGATACAACCACTCTACCTGTAGCATAAGAAAGTTAAATATGCATTTACAATATGACACAAACATTGCATTTCTAGGTATGTATTCCAAAGAAATTTAAAAACCTGTACATGGTTTGTACATGGATGTTCACAATTTTTCTGTGTTAAAGTCTAACAATGGAAATAACCCAAATATCTACAAACAGGTAAATCAAACAAATTGTGATAGATAAATACAATGGGAAGTTCTCAGCAACAAGAAGCGGTAAGGTTAGAAAAAAAAATAGAGGTAAGGCATATATTCCCTGTTCTTCCAGAAAGCAGAAGATCATTGGGAAAACAAGTCTACTGTATTAAAATAAGTTACAGAAAAATCCTAAGCAAAATCATTAGGGTGATAAATCATGGGATGCAGTGCTCTCTGATGAAAGAAGGAGTTACAAGAAGTGCCTGAAAAAATTGAACTACCATATATGACCCGGCAATACCATTACTGGGCATATACCCCAAAGAAATCACCAGATCACAGACATTTGCTCCCCCATGTTCATCGCAGCATGGTTCACAATAGCAAGAAGCTGGAAACAGCCTAAATCCCCATCAATAGAAGAGTGTATTAAAAACTCTGGTACATACACCCAGTGGAATTCTATGCATCCCTAAAATACAGCAATGAAACCCTGAAACACCTCAACTCATGGAGGGATCTGGAAGACATTATGCTGAGTGAAGTTAGTCACCCACAAAAGGACAAATACTGCATGAGCCCACTACAGTAGGGACAAGCAGCAGAATGGGCACAAGCTAAGGCTTATAGGGCATATAGTCTTCTGGCTGGGGACCAGAGAGCCTAATAAAGAGCCAGACCTGTGCCAATGAACCACATATCATCTGCTCCAGGTAAGCTCAGTGTAGCTCACTTGGCCGGAGGGTACCTCAGGAGAGCTGAGATCAAATGGTCAGGAATAGAGGGGGAAGCTATCTGCTGAGTGGTAGCCAGGTGGATATGGGGTGAGGTCCCCCAGAGAGGGAGGCAGCCCTGATAGAGGGATGAGGCTTCTGATAGGAGGGGCAGCGCAGGAGAGGGGAGAGGGAAGGGTCAAGCTTCGGCAAACAGATGCATGCATGTTGGGGAGAGGGAAGGGAGGGCTGACTTCCAAGTGTGGGGAGGAGAGATTGAAAATGTTCTTGGGAACACTAGGTAGGGAGCGTTTTAGTGGCATGCAGTGAGTAGGCAGAACTGACCAAGGACATTTGGGGGCATCCTGGGAACCCAGGTCATGCCAAAGAACACTGGGGCACTGAATCCTGCATGGTTGGAGCAGACAGCATGCTCCAGAAGCTGCATCAGTGAGATACCATATGGGGACTCTACCTCAGACACACTTGTCACCTGAGGAATTAAGCCGGAAATCACAAGGTGTCAGAGGAAGCAGAAGACAGCTATACCAAGAGTGGTGTACTGTTGATTGGCAGACATTCCACGCCCAGTATGCCATATTAAAATACATACTATTCTGGCAATCCTGTGATGGCCATTCTGTTATATTTTGCTAATGCTTGTATATAACAGGATGTATTTCAGAGATGCACCACCATTGGGGGTCACCCTCTTGAAGCTGTTACTTGTTTCTCTGGTTTTTGATAAATGAAACCCAGGAGCATTAAGCCTATAGGGAAAGAAAATATAACAAGGGTTTGTGGGGAGGGGCAATACAGAGGGCTGAAAGAGAGATAAGAAGGAAATGATGTCAAGAAGTCTAGGAAGGAAAAGTATGTCTGGAGACTGGTTATGGATGAAATTGTACAATTATATGACATTATTGAACTAAAGAATGATATGACATATATATTAATTTCTAAGTTCCAGCAAAAAAAAAAAAAAGCATAGATCCAGGAATGTGTTTGGGGCTCATACTATATCCTAGCTCCAACTTGAAGACCATTTAGTTCTTCCATCATGGCCCTACTCAACACTCACGGTCATGAAATAATCACTGAAGATAAGGGTGCTATAGCAAAGTGTGGTGAAGAAAGCAGATGGTGCCCAGCTACCAGTCAAAATAGTGTCTGGGGTCTTAAAGGATTGTATTCAAACAAGCAGCCATCTAAGCAAGGAGCCAACTAAGTCCACACAGAAGAAGCACACCAGCTTGTGTGATCCAAAGATGACAATTACAAAATTTGAATATGGTGAAAAGTATCAGAGCTAAAATTATGAACGCCTAATTTGTAGAAGGCTACGGAGAGTGAGAGCCCAAAACCCATCTATAGAGTATCTAGTCAGAGCTGCTGGCAGATCGGCTCTAGCCAAAGTCGAGTCCCGCCCTGCCTTGCTATCAGCAGATACCATTGTAATCTTTATTCTTCTGGATTGAACTGATTCCAGGCCATTTGTTCTCCCTATAGACCCCACCTGAATTTGTATTGGGTGCAAGTATCTCTTAGTTGTCTCATAACAGAAATTTTTCCCTGGCTTTTTGAATGCTGATGGAGGTCTTCTCCCTCCTAAGCATTATTTGTATTTTTGCCTTATACTAATATGATCTTATCTTTACCTTGGTGTGATTTGTCTTTCATTGTTCTTGAGGTTTCCCAGCTGTGAAGCACAGGGGAAACAGATGTATAATGATAATACTGACACAAGGTATTTAGGGAATGTAGCAGTGGGGGATGGGCAATAGGGAGGGAAAGGGGATTGCAGGAGTAAACAGGGGAGAAGGGGTAGGAAGACAACTGGTTCTTGATTGCACAATTCAGTTTAAAGGCGATATAACGTGGGGTGGAAGGTGGGCAAGGCTCTAGGATGGATGTGGTGGTGATTTTACAATTTCCCTTGATGTGATTGAACGATTGAACTATTCAAATATATGTGAATTGTGTGTCAATAAAACTGTTGGAAATTTTTTAAAAAAAGAAGTGCCTGAAACAAATTTTTGGAAAAGGCTTAATGTGTCTCAATATTATTTGTAACTTTCATGGGAGAATACTGAGATTTGAGAAGTGGAAATACTTTGCCTGTGATCCCCAACTATTCGGTGAGATTCTGACGCATGCCTGTCTGATCCCAAAGCATGATCTCTCCTCTGTGAAGATGAACAAACAGAAGAGGTTGTGATGGCTACTACCTGGTGTACCCATGATGGACAATCACGGTCCCAAAACCATTTTATACAGTTAATACAGATATATCACTCCATAGTTCAATCACACCAAGCAGTATTATACAATTGCTACCAGTTTCAAAACGTTCTTTTTCTTCTTGAACTCCTTAACATGAGCTCCCTTTAGCTTCCCTCCCCCACTGTACAACCCTTCCCAACTCTTATTCTACTTGCTGTCTCTATGGGTTCATAAATCTGGGTTTCATTTATCGAAAAACAGAAAAAATATCTAGCAAAAATTCAAGAGGATCAAGCCTACTGACAAAATATATCAGATAAACCAAAATAGAAACAAAAAAAAAATTAAGAAAATGTTGATAACCAATCAGGCCCAACAATCATTGGGGGGAAATCAACTGACAAGGTTTTTAAGTGTTGAAGTCAGGTTACCATTTTGATCTTCCATAGTCAAACTCTTCAATGCCCTCTGTTGGTCGCCAGTTTCTTCCCAACTCACCACTTCTTGAAGAATACTATGCAAGTACTGCTTGCTCTTGAAGTCACATTCTTTAAACTGAGCTTAAAGGATTCTTGGAATGCAAATTGGTGGGAAAGAAAACGAGAAACCCGTGGGGGGAGGGGGACCTCATTTTCACACTTTCAGGGTGCATGGATCTACTTCTGACAAGTTTTGTTTGGGTTTGGGAGGATGGTGACACGCGGGGCCAAAGATGATAAGAAAGAGGAAACTGGAGACGCTCAAGACACTCCCCCCACACGCCCTCCGCCAGTTACACATTTCAGCCTTGAGTCACAAGAGGGACACCTGAGCAGAGGACTCCACTTGCCAGCCCTCCGGAGCCACCCAGCGTGTGTCCTTGTCTACGATGCCCCACGCTGCAGGGTCCTCGGCGGGCGAGCACTGGCGCGCCCGCAGGCAGGTGTGCGTGGTGGCGGCGCGGGCCGCTACCGGGCGCCACCAAGAAAGGCGCTGAGACGCAGGGACAGTGCCGCCGAGCCAGAGGTGGCGTAAAACCACTCGGCGACAGGCGCCTGGAGCCTGGAGCCTGGAGCCAGGCCGGGAAAACGCGGGGCCCCCAGAGCGACGGGCACGGCGGGGGAATGAGCTCCAGATGTCCCTCCAGTAACATCCTAACTCTGCGCGTGGCTGTAGTTGACGAGACCCTCACTTCACCCTCAGCCTAGTGACCGCCTAGTGTGCCCTCACCTCTCCAGTTCTTGTACTCCGGGATGTAGTAGTATTTGTTCCCGAACTGGTCCGTGCCCACGTGCTGCTTCACTTCCTTCCACAGCGCTTGCCACAGCGAGCGAAACCAACGCTGAGACCACCCCATGCCGCCCGGCCCAGCTCTCCGCCGTCCCGCAGTCCGACTGCCGGCCCCACAAGAAGGACCGCCCCCGCCGCTGGCCCCGCCCCTCGGAGACCAGCCCGCCTCCTTTCCCGCACCCCGAAATAACGGCGCTGACTATTGGTCGCCTTGATTTACGGCTGGGCCAATGAAGACACAGCTGTTACAGCGCCCCGCCCCCGCCCCCTCCGAGTTCTGTCATGGCGGCGTCCTGTGCTGAAGTTGATGTGAAGGAACGGGATGCTTGGGTTTTTAACAGCGCGACAAATCGGTTTGGACGACCCCCTGCACCTCCGGCGAGCAGAGTCCACACGGAGGTAAAGAATACTTTTCCAAACCGGCCAATTAGCATCCGGTCCTGGCAACACATCTTTCCTCCCCATTCTCTCTTTCTCCCCTCTCAACTTTGTATTCTACTTCTTCCTGGGTCGCGAGAACTTGGGGTGCCTTTTATATACTCGTATAATTTAATAGCTGTGGGCGCATGAGAGGCTGCCACGATGGCACAAACGGTTAAGAGCTCCTTACAGGCCCTCACTGATTGCGGATTTGAGCCGCATTCAGAGGCGACTGACAGTAAGACAGTAAGGAGTTAGGCTCGGAAGCTCAGGGGCAATTTTATCCTGTTCTGTAGAGTCACTAGGAGTCGACATTGACTGGATGGCAGTGAGAAAAAAGGCGACTAATGGTGTAGTGGGCCACACTTTGAGTTGTAACCACAAGGCGGGCTGTTCAAATCCTCCTGCTGCTCCGGCACAGAAAGATAAGGTTGGATGCTCCTGTGAAGATTTAAAGTCTGGGAAACCCCAAGGGATAGTTCTTCACAGTCCTATAGAGTCACTATGGGTTGAAATCAATAGTGGGGAGTTTGGTTTTGATTTTGAGGCGCCTAGGTCAATAGGCCCGTTGATGTGCTTCCAAAAGGGTTCTGGAGTGGGCATTTTGTTTCCCTTGCAAACTTTGCACAAACAGGATTACTGTGAGTGGGAAACTACTCTAGCACAGCTGGCAACAACGTGGCTGGATGTGCAAATGAGTTCACATCCAGACAGGGATTCTACATGAGGATACATTTTCATTTTACTTTATTCTTTCTTCCTCCTTTTAACACTGTACACACACACACACACACACACACACACACACGGCACAAGAAATAACTATCTTCCAAACATTCATTCATTTGTCTTTAGTGAGTTACGTGTACAGTAGGACCATAAGCCAGAAATTAAACATTTAGCGTGTCTAGTGAAGAAAGTTGGAGACAGGCGCTATTGCCCAGAGATTGGAGAAGTAGGCAGAAGCTAGATGAGAAAGAACTTGGGAGGTATGCAGGGTAGAATAAATAATAACCAAGGAGCCCTGATGGCGTTGTGGTTACACATTGAGCTGCAATCCACACGGTCAGCAGTTCAAAACCACAGCTCCTCTAAGGGAAAAAAAATGGGCCTTTCTACTCTCATAACTAGTGACACCCTCAGAAACTCAGAGCCTGTTCTACCCTGTTGACATCTCACATGGATGGCTGCTTGTTTGGAGACAAGCCTTTAAGATCCCAGATGCTATTTTATCTGATTGCCAGGCACCATCTGATTTCTTCACTGCATTTTGTTATAACACTGATATCTTCTGTATTCTGTTCCTGAGGGTGAGTATCGAGAAGGGCCATGTTATAAGAATTAATTGTTCTTTAGTTGGAGCTAGGATTTAGTGTGAGCCCCAAACACATTCCTAGATCTTTTTGCTTTTGGCTAAACCTTCTTGTTAATTTATGGTAGAGAGTCTTATTCTCATGGAGCATAACAATCTTTGTTAATTTTGTCTTTGCTTAGCCCCTGGTGCTAATTTTTTAAAGGCCTGTTGAGATAGGCATATTGGGTGAATGTAGGCTAGAAGCACTCCCGGCGCCAACTAGGTGGCAACAACTTGCGGGGCTGGGGCAGTGTTCTCCAGGAA